CCAGTTGAGGCCTACGAATATCCGGGCTTCAAAGTTCGACTTGGAGTTTAGTGTCCTTACGTCATTCCTGACTCAGTTACACCCATCACAATTTGACTGTGATTTGGGGGACTTCGGTTTGAATCCTGACATTGTCTCTCAGTCCCCAAGACTGGAACCAAATCCCAAACTGGAACCAATTCCCAAACTGGAACCAAATCCCAAACTGGAACCAATTCCCAAACTGGAACTATTCTCCAAATGGGAACCAGTTCTCAAACTGGAATCAGTCTCCAAATGGGAATCAATTCCCAAATGGGATTCAGTGTCCAAACTGGAACCAGCCCCTAAACTGAAACAATTCTCCAAACTGGAACCAATTCCCAAACTGGAACCAGTTCCCAAACTAGAACCAGTCTCTAAACTGGAACCAGTCCCTAAACTGGAACTAACTCACAAAATGGAACCAGTTCCCAAACTGAAACCATTCTCTTAATTGGAACCTATTCCCAAACTGGAACCAGTTCCCAAACTGAAACCATTCTCTAAACTGGAACCAATTCCCAATCTGGAACCAGTTCCCAAACTAGAACCAGTCTCTAAACTGAAATCAATTCCCAAACTGGAACCAGTTCCCAATCTGGAACCATTCTCTAAACTAGAACCAGTTCCCAATCTGGAACCATTCTCGAAACTGGAATCAATTCCCAAACTGGAACCAGTTCCGAAACTAGAACCAGTCTCTAAACTGGAACCAATTCCCAAACTGTAACCAGTTCTCAGACTAAAACAATTCTGTAAACTGGAACCATTATCTAAACTGGAGCTAATTCCCAAACTGGAACCAGTTCCCAAACTAGAATCATTCTCTAAACTGGAACCAATTCCCAAACCAGGACCAGTTCCCAAACTGACACCACAATCTAAACTGGAACTAATTCACAAACTGGAACCATTTCCCAAACTGGAACCAATTCCCAAACTGTAACCATTCTCTAAACTGGAACCAGTTCCCAAACTGAAACCATTCTCTAAACTGGAACCAGTTCCCAAACTGGAACCAGTTCCCAAACTAGAACCAGTCTCTAAACTGGAACCAATTCCCAAACTGGAATCAGTTTCCAAACTGGAACTGTTCTCGAAACTGGAACCAATTCCCAAACTGGAACCAATTCCCAAACTGGAACAACCATTCTCTAAATTGGAACCAGTTCCCAAACTGGAACCAATTCCCAAACTGGAACCTATTCTCAAACTGGAACCAGTCTCCAAACTGGACCTATTCTCAAACTGGAACCAGTTCCCAAACTGGAACTATTATCTAAACTGGAATCGTTCTCTAAAGTGGAACCAATTCCCAAACTGGATTTAGTCTCCAAACTGGAACTGATTCCCAGACTAGAACCAGTCCCCAAAGTGGAACTGCTTCCCAAACTGTGACCCAAAAGGCAAGGATTGTGTGTTTCTTTTCCCAAAAGTGTTGGCCTCATACAACCTCGATGGCCTCCTTCAAAATTCAGACTAAACGCCGGAGTGGGTTATTATTACTGTTGTTGTTTACCCACACACTGATTCCAATAAAGACAATACAAGCTTTTGCGGGTGGGGGGAAGCAATCTTGGGCAATGGCCCCGTTGGGGGATGCTGGGTGTTGCAGTCCCTCCCTTGGGCCGGTCTGGAGCTGCTCTGGGTCTCGCACGCCGTAATGAAGTTATCCCTCCCGGCCCCCAAAGACCCCCCCTTGGTTCTCCCCGGAGATGCTGAGGCAGCCGCCTCCTCCTCCTCCTCCTCCTCCTTCCGCCAGCAACAGCCTTGGCGTTTATTGAGCGCAAAGTAATAATTTATTGTCCTTTGTATGCGCAAAAGCCATCTTCATTATCCAGGGAAATGGGAAAGGCCCCAAGGAGGAGGAGGAGGAGGAGGAAGAAGAAGGAGGAGGCCTTGAAGGGTCAGCACTTTTGGACCCCAAAGAGGAGGCCCAGGCTTCGGTTAGGTCCATCCCACTCACCCCATTGGCCTCCCAGTCTTCCCAGTTTTGCAAATTTTGGGTGGGCTTTTTTTGGGGGGGGGGTGATCAGAATGGAAGCAGAAAGAAGAATAGAAAAGGAAAAGAATGGAAAATGGAAGCAGAAAGAAGAATGGAAAAGGAAAAGGAGGATGAGCACAGAAGGAGAGGAGGAAGGAATCACAGAACAGAAGGAAGGAAGGAAGGGAAGGAAGGAAGGAAGGAAGGAAGGAAGGAAGGAAGGAAGGAAGGAAGAGGAAAAGAAGGCAAGGAGGAAGAAAAGGGTGAGGGGAAGAAGGAAAAGGGGGGAAGAAATAATGGAAGGGGAAGAAAAAGGATGAGAAAGAGAAAGAAGGAAGGAAGGAAGATTAAAAAGAAGAGATAGAGGAAGAAGAAGAAGAAGGTGAACAGGAGGAAAAGGGAAGACTACTGTAAGAGGGAGAATGAAGGATGAGGAAGAGAAAGAAGGAAGGAAGGAGGAAGATTAAGAAGAGCTAGAGGAAAAGGGAAGAATAGTATGAGGAGAAAAAATGATGAGGAAAAGAAGGAAGGAAGATTAAGAATAGGTGATAGAGGAGGAGGAAGAATGTGAAGAGGAGGAAAGGGGAAGGATAACGTTAACGGCAGAATAAAGGATGACAGAATAAGAAGAAAGGAAGGAAGATTAAGAAAAGATAGAGGAGAAAGAAGAAGGTGAACAGGAGGAAAAGGGAAGAGTAATGTAAAAGAGAATACAGGATGAGGAAGAGAAAGAAGGAAGGAAGAAGGAAGATTAGAAAAGAGGAGATGGAGGAGGAAGAAGAAGGTGAACAGGAGGAAAAAGGAAGAGTAACATGAGTTGCAGAATAAAGGATGAGGAAGAATAAGAAGAAAGGAAGGAAGATTAAGAAAAGATAAAGAAGAAGATGAACAGGAGGAAAAGGGAAGAATAACGTAAGAGAGAATCAAGGATGAGGAAGAGAAAGGACAAAGGAAGGAGGAAGATTAGAAAAAAGGAGATGGAGGAGGAAGAAGAAGGTGAACAGGAGGAAAAGGGAAGAGTAACGTAAGAGGGAGAATAAAGAATGAGGAAGAGAAAGAAGAAAGGAAGAAGGAAAATTAAGAAGAGATAGAGGAGGAAAAAGAAGTAGGTGGGCAGGAGGAAAGGGGAAGTGTAACGTAAGAGGCAGAATAAAGGAAGAGGAAGAGAAAGAACAAAGGAAGGAGGAAGATTAAGAAAAGACGAGCTAGAGGAGGAAGAAGGTGAACAGGAGGAAAAAGGAAGAGTAACATAAGAGGGAGAATAAAGGAAGAGGAAGAGAAGAGTAAGGTAAGAGGGAGAATAAAGGATGAAGAAGAGAAAGAAGAAAGGAAGATTAAGAGGAGGCAATAGAGAAGGAGGAGGAAGGTGAACAGGAGAAAAAAGGAAGAGTAAGATAAGAGGGAGAATAAAGAATGAGGCAGAGAAAGAAGAAAGGAAGAAGGAAAATTAAGAAGAGGAGATAGAGGAGGAAAAAGAAGAAGGTGGACAAGAGGAAAAGGGAAGAGTAACGTAAGAGGGAGAATAAAGGAAGAGGAAGGGGGAGATTAAGATGAGATAGAGGAGGAAGAAGGTGAACAGGAGGAAAAAGGAAGAGTAAGGTAAGAGAGAGAATAAAGGATAAAGAAGAGAAAGAAGAAAAGATTAGGAAGAGGCAATAGAGAAGGAGGAAGAAGGTGAACAGGAGGAAAAAGGAAGAGTAAGGTAAGAGAAAGAATAAAGGAAAAGGAAGAAAGAACAAAGGAAGGAGGAAGATTAGAAAAGAGGAGATAGAGGAGGAAGAAAGAAGGAAGAGAAGGAAAACAAGGAGGAAGAAAAGGCTGAATAGGGAGAAGAAATGATGTCAAGGAAAGGGATGAGGGGAAGGAGGAGGAAGAGGCAAATGAAAACGGATGATGAAATAGTGTAAAGGAAGGAAGAAGAGAAGAGCAGGAGAGGAAGAAGGCGGAAGAGGCAGGAGACAAGGCAGAACAGAACCCTGCCTATGGGGACCTAAAGGTAAGAGGGAGAATAAAGGATGAAGAAGAGAAAGAAGAAAGGAAGATTAAGAAGAGGCAATAGAGAAGGAGAAAGAAGGTGAACAAGAAGAAAAGGGAAGAGTAAGGCAAAAGGGAGAATAAAGGAAGAGGAAGAGAAAGAACAAAGGAAGGAGGAAGATTAAGAAAAGAGGAGATAGAGGAGGAGGAAGAAGGTGAACAAGAGGGAAAAGGAATAGGGAGAGGGAGAATAAAGGATGAAGAAGAGAAAGGAAAGGAAGGTGAACAGGAGGGGAAAGGAAGAGTAAGGTAAGAGGGAGAATAAAGAATGAGGCAGAGAAAGAAGAAAGGAAGATTAAGATGAGGAGATAGAGGAGGAAGAAAGGAAGAGAAAGGAGGAAGAAAGGAAGAAAAGGCTGAATAGGGAGAAGAAATGATATCAAAGAAAGAGATAAGGAAGGAGGAAGATTAGAAAAGAGGAGATAGATGAGGAAGAAGGTGAACAGGAGGAAAAGGGAAGAGTAAGGTAAGAGGGAGAATAAAGGATGGAGGCAGAGAAAGAAGAAAGGAAGGAGGAAGATTAAGATGAGGAGATAGAGGAGGAAGGAAGAAGGAAGAGAAAGAAGAGAAAGAAAACAAGGAGGAAGAAAGGAAGAAAAGGCTGAATAGGGAGAAGAAATGATGTCAAAGAAATGGATGAGGGGAAGGAGGAGGAAGAGGCAACGGATGATGAAATAGTATAAAGGAAGGAAGGAGAGAAGAGCAGGAGAGGAAGAAGGCAGAAGAGGCAGGAGAGGAGGCAGAATAGAACCCTGCCTATGGGGACCCAATGGGGACCCTATTTGTGTTAATGGGATTTTCCTTGGCCTCTGGCTCTGAGGATTCATTGTTGTGTCTGCTTTGCTTATAGGGCTGGAGAAGAAGACCCCCGAAGAGAGGGAAGCAAAGGAGGAGAGGAAGAAAGGAAGGAAGAAAGACCCTTTCTCTGTCCCTCCCCAAAGAAGAGGAGGAGGAGGAGGAGGAGGAGGCGTGGCGTGGGCCGTGGATTGGGGGGCGCCTCTCTTCGGAGGATTACGGCACACGGCGCTGCTGTCCGCGGTGCTGAAGCTGGAGAGAGAGGAAGGAAGGAAGGAAGGAAGGAAGGAAGGAGAAGAAAGAAAGAAAGCAGAGGAGGAGAGGAGCAGCCGAGAGGGTCCGAGGAGGGACCCCGTCTCCAACCCCAAAGGAGAGAAGGAGGCCAGGGCGAAGGGGAGACCCTGGAGGGGTCAAAGGCGGAGAAAGGGGGACCCCAAGAAGCCCATCACCCCCCAAGAGGGACCCAGCCATGGCCATGAAGGGCTGGCCGGTGGTCCTGCTCTTCGCCTTCGCCACCGCTTTGGGTCTCCGGGATCAAGGTAAGAAGAGGGCTTTCCGTCCCTTCGTCGTCGTCCCAATAATGAGACAAAACCTGTGGGCTTCCTTTGCCTTCCATCCACCCTCAATCCGTCTCTTTGTGGCATCGAGACCGTCCTTGCCTTCCTCTTGCATTCCTCTTGCATTCCCTTCCAATACCTATTATTATTATTATTATTACTATTATTACTATTATTATTGACACAAAAGCACACTATGTCACAGCAAACGAGATCTATATGCTGGATTTCGTATCACAAAATCACAAGTCGAAGGGTACAATAGTACATATTATTACTATTATTATTACTATTACTATTATTGCTATTATTATTATTGCTATTGTTATTTTACTGACACAAAAACACAGTATGTCACAGCAAACAAGATCTCTATGCTGGATTTCGTATCACAAAATCACAAGTCAAAGAGTACAATAGTACATATTGATACTATTATTATTACTATTACTATTATTGCTATTATTATTATTGCTATTGTTATTATTTTACTGACACAAAAACACACTATGTCACAGCAAACGAGATCTATATGCTGGATTTCGTATCACAAAATCACAAGTCGAAGGGTACAATAGTACATATTATTACTATTATTATTACTATTACTATTATTGCTATTATTATTATTGCTATTGTTATTTTACTGATAAAAACACAGTATGTCACAGCAAATGAGATCTATATGCTGGATTTTGTATCACAACATCACAAGTCAAAGGGTACAATAGTACATATTATTACTATTATTATTACTATTATTATTATTGACACAAAAACACAATATGTCACAGCAAACGAGATCTATATGCTGGATCTCATATCACAAAATCAGAAGTCGAAGAGTACAATAGTGCATATTATTACTATTATTATTACTATTACTATTATTGCTATTGTTATTATTTTACTGACACAAAAGCACACTATGTCACAGCAAACGAGATCTATATGCTGGATTTCGTATCACAAAATCACAAGTTGAAGGGTACAATAGTGCATATTATTACTATTATTATTACTATTACTATTATTGCTATTATTATTCTTTTACTAACACAAAAATCACAGCAAATGAGATCTATATGCTGGATTTCGTATCATGAAATCACAAGTCCAAGGGTACAATAGTACATGTTATTACTATTACTATTACTATTATTACTATTATTGCTATTGTTATTATTTTACTGACACAAAAGCACAGTATGTCACAGCAAACGAGAGCTATATGCCGGATTTCGTATCACAAAATCACAAGTCGAAGGGTACAATAGTACATATTATTACTATTATGACTATTACTATTATTGCTATTGTTATTACTATTAATATTATTTTACTAACACAAAAACACACTATGTCACAGCAAATGAGATCTATTTGCTGGGTTTTGTATCCCAAAATCACAAGTCGAAGGGTACAATAGTACATATTAACACTATTATTATTATTACTATTATTATTTTACTAACACAAGAACACAGTATGTCACAGCAAACGAGATCTATATGCTGGATTTCGTATCACAAAATCACAAGTCGATGGGTACAATAGTACATGTTATTACTATTATTATTATTATTATTATTATTATTATTGGTATTATTATTAGTATTATTATTATTATTTTACTAACACAAAAACACAGTATGTCACAGCAAATGAGATCTATTTGCTGGATTTTGTATCACAAAATCACAAATCAAAAGGTACAATAGTACATATTATTACTATTATTATTATTACTATAACTATTATTGCTATTATTGTTACTATTATTATTTTACTGACACAAAAACACAGTATGTCCCAGCAAACGAGATCTCTATGCTGGATTTCGTATCACAAAATCACAAGTTGAACCCATCCCAAGTGTCTAGGACTGTGTGATGTATTTTCATATATACATCACACATTATTATTATTATGACTATTATTATTATGATTACTATTATTAGTAATAGTATTATTATGACTATTATTATTACTACTATTATTATTATTACCATTATTATTATTTTACTAACACAAAAAAAAGTATGTCACAGCAAACAAGATCTTTATGCTGGATTTCGTATCACAAAATCACAAGTCGAACACTTCCCAAGCATCTATTATTATTATTACTATTATGATTATTATTATTACTACTACTATTATTATTTTACTGACACAAAAACACAGTATACCACAACAAACGAGATCTATATGCTGGATTTCGTATCACAAAATCACAAGTCGAACACTTCCCAAGCATCTATTGTTATTATTATTACTATTAGTAGTAGTGGTAGTAGTATTACTATTATTATTATTATTTTACTAACACAAAAACACAGTATTTCACAGCAAATGAGAAATATAGGCTGGTTTTCGTATCACAAAATCACAAGTCGAACACTTCCCAAGCGTCTATCATCATTATTATTATTATTATTATTATTATTATTATTATTATTACTATTAGAAGTAGTAGTATTACTATTATTATTATTATTATTATTACTACTACTATTATTATTTTACTAACACAAAAACACAGTATGTCACCACAAACGAGATCTATATGCTGGGTTTTGTATCACAACATCACAAGTCGAACACTTCCCAAGCGTCTATTATTATTACTACTATTACTATTATTATTATTACTATTATTATTATTACTATTAGTATTACTATTATTATTGCGTTGAGACGTTTCTGTATTGACTCCCCATCTCAATAGTCCCACTGGATGGAGTCTCAAGGCTGACCTCTTCTCGCCTCGGTCCAAACTTCTTTCTCCAAGTTGCTCTTTTGTTTCTGCTTCGTTTGGAGAAAGGAAGGGACGGACGTCGTCTGGACTCAGATGGCCGTCTGCAGAGATGGCTCTATTGGATCATAAAGGGTTGCCCTTATTTGGGGAGCTTTATATATGCCTAAAATACCCCCCATATTTTCTTGTTTCTGTTGCCCCCCGGCCCAAGCAACCCCATCTTTTGCCTTTATTCCAGGACATGTTTGAATTCTGGAAAGCCTTCTTCTATTTCAGATTTGGCTTTTATGGGAAGGTTAGGAATCCTTCCAAAACCACCCTTTGGAAGGTTGGAAATCTATCATCTTTGGAGATCCGTGTTTCCTCCTTCGGAAATGCCTAACACGCCAACAAAGGCGTGATCTAAATGTCTTTAGATGGCAAAGTTAACTCAAATCAATGCAGGTTGAGTCTCAATCGTGTGGGGGGAATATTTGCATCGGCGTCCATGTCAAGATCCCTCAATTTTGACCCACAATGATTTGCCGTGATTTAGGACACACGCTGTCTCAACCTTTTGTACTTTTGGAGCCTTCCTTTGAGGAAGAACACCGATTTGTAGCTGACGGCGTGGATTGCGACTGTCAATTATTGCGCATGTGTTCCTCTGTCTCGCCCAACTTTTCCTCCCTCCCTTGATCCCCGTTGGCCCAGATTTGAACCGGTTTAATCTCCTGGTGGTGGTGGTGGTCATGATGGGATTAGACTTGATCCCCTGCACAATTGGATTGGTGTATCAATATGTTGGTCATGGTGCCCTGGGTTCAATGGTGAAGCTACTCAGGGTTCCATGGGTCCTTTCTGTCGTACGGCCTCTCTCTAGGACTTCGGGGGTCAGGACCATCATGGAGATGATGCTTCCCAGGTGGAACAAGGTGGGGATGAAGGGATGGTGCTTTCTTCTCCAAGATAAGCCCAGGGAACGTGGGCTTCATCCTGGTTTAGCCAACTGGTCTTGGCATCAGATGGATCCAAAGTCTTGGCCCAAAGTCTCTTGATTGGGGGGGGGGGGCACAAACTTGGGCAGGAATAAAAGGGTTCTGACCTATCTCAGTATCTCCTCTGTCTGTCCTTCCTTCCTTCCTTCCTTCCTTCCTTCCTTCCTTCCTTCCTTCCTTCCTCCCTTCCTTCCTTCCTTCCATTCACCTTCCATCCATCCTTCCTTTTCTTCCTTCCTTCCTTCCTTCCTTCTTCCCTCCTTCCTTCCTTCTTCCTTCCTTCCTTTACTTCCTCCTCCTTCCTTCCTTCCTTCCTTCCTTCCTTCCTTCCTTCCTTCTTCCTTCCATCCATCCTTCCTTCCTTCTCTCCTTCCTTCCTCTCCTCCTCCTTTCTTTCCTTCCTTCCTTCCTTCTTCCTCCTCCTTCCCTTCCTTCCTCCTCTCCTCCCTCTTCCTTCCTTCCTTCTTCTTCCATTCATTCATCCATCCATCCATCCTTCCTTCTTCCTTCCATCTCCTTTATCCTTCTCTTCTTTCCATCCATCCATCCATTCCACCCTTTCATCTCTCCCCACCCTTCCTTCCTTCCTTCCTTCCCTTTCCTTCCTTCCTTCCTTCCTTCCTTCCCTTCCTTCTTTCCTCTCCTCCTTCCTTCCTTCTTTCCTTCCCTCCTCTTCCTTCCTTCTCCTCCTTCCTTCCTTCCTTCCTTCCTTCCTTCCTTCCTTCCTTCCTTCCTTCCTTTCCATCCATCCATCCATCCTTCCATCTTTCCTTCCATCTGTCTGTCTGTCTATCTATCTATCTATCTATTCATCTTACTAGCATCCCTTTCTCTCATCTATATATCCATTATCTCTCTATCTATAGCTACCTATCTGTCATCTCTCTCTCACTGATCACTGTCGTATCTATCTACCTATCCACTATCATCCTTTTCCCATCTATCTGTCTCTATCTATCTATCTATCTATCTATCTATCTATCTATCTATCTATCTATTATCTCTATCAGTAGCTACCCATCCATCATCTCTCCCTCACCCATCACTGACATATCTATCTATCTATCTATCAATCTATCTATCTATCTATCTATCTATCTATCTATCTATCTATCTATCACCCTTCTCCCATCTCTCTGTCTCTTTCTCTCTCTATTATCTCTATCAATAGCTACCTATCTATCATCTCTCTCTCACTTACCTCTGTCCTATCTATCCATCCATCCATCCATCCATCCATCCAT